ACCGACTGCGGGAGATCAACAGACTGCGCGAGCGCTACGGCCCAAAATCAGCTCAGCAGCAGCCAAACCTGTCCCCGCCGCCTAACATGCTTGGCGCAGGCGGCGGCGGACTGGGCTCGTCTGTGGTGACTTCCCCTCTGGCTTCGGGTGGTCAAGGAGGTGGCATAACGCAGCAGTCATTGCTCGGGCAGGATATCGGCGCGTCGAGACCGGTAAACGCTGTGAGGGATAGCTTTACGAGCTTGCGTAGGTCTAGCGTGGCCACCTTCTTTACGAATAACAGCACGGCGGATCCTACGTCACACCGGTCGTCGATGCTGTCAACTACCACGCCTGATACGGAGGTCATGTTCCCGGCTCACGGAGCGGACGCACTGATCGAGTCGGTTGATTTCTCCAAGTGGACTTGATGATCTGGCTGAATGCGGAGAAGGGAAGAAGCAGTGCTTGATGGGGCAAAAACAAGATAACAGACATATAATGGTTAATATTGATTACAAACAGATGGGGGGGGGGGGGGGGGGGGGGAACGGGCAGAACACACAAGATTCGTAAAGCAATGAAAATTTAAGAAGGAAAAGCAGACAAAAGAAATCATAATACAGGTTGGGTGGATTGATTGATTGATTGGATGGGGTATGTATAGACGGAGAGGGTGGCAGTCTGTTTTTGTATGGGAGCGAAACAAAAGCGGAAAAGAAAAAACTTGGTGCGTGTATCCATGGGTGAAGCAAGTTCGAAAGTCTGCATATGGGATCAGGCGGGATTGACTGCAGAGGATTCAAAAATGGAGTAGTGGTATTGAATTGGCTCGCTCTGTTAAAATGCTGGTTGTTGGTAGAAGCCATGTCGGATGAGAGGTGAGGTAGTTTGGGGATAGTCATTACCTAGGAGTAGGCCACCTCTAGGGATCGCCCACTTAGTCGTTAATCACCAAAAGGTGCTGTCTGTTCGTTCTCTGCTCACAGAGAAATTTTTTTGAATGTCGTGAACAGATTGTTGATAGAAGGCATGACTGAAGTGCCGCCACCCTGATTTATTCTGTGTGACTTCCAGATACGCTCGTTGCTGTTCTTCAGAAAGAAGCAACTACACAGTACACATGGCTATTTGCCCAAGACCTGAGATGAGCGGGTGGCAGCTGCTTCTCCCCATCCATTCACGCCCTCGCGCTTAACTTCTCCGCGGATCTATCTTTTCATGTCTTTTACTCTCTCGCTGTCTTCTCAAAAGACTTGATATTCCAACATCTCAAAATACAAAGCCACCACGGTTGCTAGGGGGGCTTGTGTAGCATGCATTGTTCTTTCCAAGAAACTAGGAGTTGCTAGACCTCAAGGCAAGGAAAGCTGATCTTAGGTATCAGTTACTGGATACTACCTAGACAGTCCTCGGTGGCTATCATCGTCTGTTGAAGACGTTATTCAGTTGGGTCCCCCACTGGTCCCGTTGTTCATGCCGAATATAGCCATCTAAGGAATAGTTGACAATTTAAACAAGCTCGCGGTCTATTCCTTGTCAACAAGCTTGGGTTGATTGGAGGAGAATTCTGTCTTTGCTCACTTCAACCACCGACTCCCGAGTGTAGGGATGAGAAGGGGCTGGAAAAAAAAGAGTACATCTAGAACAAAAGTAGAGATAGAGGTAGAAGAGTAAGTAGGTGTACTCGGAATTTTGAAAAACCGGAAGAAGCACCGGGAACAAGATCTTCTTGATTTTGCAAATGGAGGGGAGTCTGCCTTAACATGGACTCGGACAAGCATCGTCCTTCCTCTCTGTCTTTCTCGCATTCACAAGAAAGATGGAAATGAAATCGAAACAACAGATGACAAGAACAAGCCTCGATCTCTTTTTGCCAGAGCATTTTCCTTTTTCTTGGAAACTTCGTCACTTACCGATGAGAATGACTGTGACACTTGATTACAACTAGACAACACACAAAGTGTGTAAAGCACATACCCCAAAACAGAAACAGGAGAAGGAGGAGGAGATCGATCCAATGCAGACACAACAAGTTTGAAGAAGAATGGATAGATAAAATCTCGGAGCATCACCACCAAACGTAGTTAGCTGTCTTCCATCGGATATATGATTGGCCCACTATGTAATCCACCTACAACAACACCCCCTACCCTCTACCTAACGACACTCAGGCCCCCTCCACGATTCAAACCATTGAAAATGTCACAGGGTCCCTGGCACTTGTTCGGTCTGGCCTCGGTTCCTAATCCCCTTCGGTTGTTCGTGTTCGTTCATTGGTGGATCGCTTTGTGTATGTAGGCAAGTCGTCGGGGACCCGGGAGGAGGGGGTGGGGGGAGCACCTATGTAATTCCACCCAAGTAATACGTGTACGGTTTTAGGGCTAGACGGAGTTTAGTGTGTCTCCTTGCTCCCTCGTTGTGTGGTGGTGACCGGCCGGGCGCTTCATCTCATGGAGAAACTTTGCGGTTTGAGATTTTTTTTTAAAAAAAACGCTACCCATGCGGTCTGGTGGGTCAGACCCAAGACTTGGGAAGTGTCTCGAGTCCGTGTTCTAGAAGACGAGGGGTAGGTAGAGCACAAAGTGAATGAGACAGGAGATGGATGAGGTAGTGTAGTTGTATTGCACGCCCGCGGTTCGGTACTACTGTAGGTATTCATGTGAAGTGCCAAGGGGAGGCTGAGAAGTAGGTAGAGAAGGTTATCTTTGCTAGTGTACTTCCCTCCTTTTTCTTTTTATCTTCTTTCGCTTCTCTTTTCTTCCGTGTTTCCAGTTTAGCTGTTAGGCAATGATGGTGCCGGACCTGAGCTAGCTATAGATGGGATTTGTTCCGGCCATTGTTGGTTGGTTCGTTCTCCGTTCCTTCCCTTCATCTTTGTGCTTTATTATACCTGTTCAACATTTCTTGCAAATCGATGTGAGTTTTTAGTGAACTGTGTGGACATGTTCTCGCTCAACTTTCGTTACGAGATCTGATGCAAGATCCGAGGATATGGTGTTCAACACAGTTACCAACCAACAACAACCGTCGATCACATCCGACCTGCGGAATCTGTCACAGGACACATTTCGAAGGGCCCGGAGGTCCGATGGTCCACCGAATGCTGCAAGTCTGGGAAATCTGGGGGATTGTCATTGCCCGTCAGCTCTCCCGTTGCACTTTGTTGATCCTTTTTGATCCTGTCTCTCGCGTGTGTCCTGCTTACACAGTGTAGCCGAACAGGAGTGTTATACCCTATCTCTTTTTTTCTGTGATGTTTGTTTGTGTAACCCCAAATGCTGTGGATCAAGTCGATGGACTGCTGTGGGTTGGCGATGAAAGTTCTCTGGGGTCCTGGAAGCGAGACGACAACTTTCTCATCGAACGTCGCTCAACCTGAATTCTGGTTTTTTTTTTTGGCCATTTTGTTCAAGGTTCTCCCTGGCCAGAGCTCGCCCAACCTCTTTTTTTTCATTCTTCTTCCTTTTTTTTTTTTTTTTTTTTTTTTTTTTTTTTTTTTTTTTGATAGAACTGTTTTTCTTCGACTTGAGCTCTTTGACGTTCAGCTCCACTGCAACAAAAGGTTCCTGCGCCGTCAGTGCACTACATACCTCCGAAATTGGTTACCCACTTCACCACTGAGGCTCCGTGTGTTTGTTACTGAAATGTCTTGTCCCGCCGGTTAGGCAGCGTAGTGCAGTGACGGAATCATGGAATGCCCCCATTCAGAGGCTATCCGGATCCACCAAGCGACGCCGGAACGCTTCGCCGTAAGCGCCCTGCGGGGCCGTAATGGACCCCGTAACATCCACCTACATAGCTGAGAACTTGGCGAGATCCCGTTTCCGCTCGAGCAAGTCGACCCTAGACAAAATTACGGCGTTGCAGTGTTTACGGGGTAGAAAGTGGGATCCTAGTATTGGGCACCGAGGAGTCACATTTCTTATTCGTCTGACGGAATGGAGTGGATGAACGAAGACTGGGGAACCAAGCTTGAAGAAATTTTGTAGGCATCTGGCCGGAGATGATCAGGGAAACTCAAGCAGGATGAGTGATGGGTGATGGGTGATGAAGAATGGTCGTGGGTAAGGGGAACCACATCTCTCTCGCTCGGCTTGGGGTCGTACCAAGGCATGGTTCCTCATTACATTAAGCAATCTTGCATCGACTTATCGACCAGCTGGAATGAGTTTAGACTGGATGACTTGGCGAGGGTGATTGCAATGTTTGACGCAGAAATCGTACGTTTGAACACTTGGCCCCAGCATCATTAGAGTTGCTGAAGAAGATTCTTTGAGCCTTCCAATTCTAGGTACCTTATTATGAAGCCGAGATTTCAAGTACCGTGGGAGATGTGCAATGGGTTCAGATCCTAGAACTGAGCAAGGGGGGCTGAAGACGTTTGTCGCATAACTCGTACGTTTGAATGCTTGACACGCAAATGGGGTTGATGTCGGAAGGTTTCTGGGTCCTATTGATCCTGCGTTAAATGAAGTCGGAATTCCAAGTGGGTGGCGTCTTTTCGTTGAGTTGAGGACCATCACACATGGGTATCGTATCCGTAGTTGAGACGTTGGATGCAAAAATCGTACGTTTGAGCTGTTGGCCATCATGGGTATTGTATTGTTGAGACAAAGAAGGTGGGGGAGAAGAGGTCCTGGCGGTGGAGGTAAGCCGAAACAGAACTTGGGGACATCGAAAACCTAATACAAAATAGACGCAAGGGGTAGCGAGCCCAGTCTCGATCGTGGGGTGATGGATAGATGGATAATATGTATGGTTATTGTTGATTATCTTGACAAAAAAAAAGGAAAATTGGTATCACTGGCTGCTCCAACGCACACCCTTAATCATCCCAAACATTCATGCTCATCAAATTCCCTGAACATCGTTCGTTGGTATACACAAACCCCCTAATACGTGTACATACACATTTTCGAACATTAACATATGAAAAAAAATCGTCGTCGTATCGTTTTCGCTGCTCGGAAATTTGTGATTTATGGTGTTGGCGTATTCGCGGAAAAGAACCCAATCGTTTATTCTCGCGAAATAACCACATCGGTCCTCTTCGTAATACCGCCATCCAGAATAAACTCGGTGCTGTTATTGGCGTCCTTGCTCGTATGGCCCTCGACGCTTCCGAGTTCCATGTCGTTTATGCTGTCCAACTTCTCGCACCCCTTGCTCTTGCCCGTCCTCCACGTCTGAAGGGCGTAGCGCGATCCGACCTCCTTCGGATATCCTGTTCCACGGGTTCGGCTCCCGGTATTGCCGGCTCGCGATCTCTCGTTGAAGTACTTGATTAAGGGCGCAAGAGTCGGGACGTTTGTGACGATGATGCCGAGGTTGTTTTCAACTGTCGACCACATAATCAAAGGAGCGGAGTCGATGGGGTTTACGAGGCGCTTGACCGTCTGGATGCGGATAATCTGGATAATGGTGATGAAGAGGCCGAGTCCGAACATTCCGAGTAGAACGACCTTTTTCCGCGTCTGAATTTGAGATTTGAGAAGAACCGGGAATGGGAGGAGCATACTGCAACGCCGACAGGTCAGCGTGCGATGAGAAATAGCTGCGGGATTTCCACTTACGCAGTAACATCGAAAACGATCGTTAGCGACGCCATGCTCGTATAAAAAGGCACTCCTTTGAGACATTTGCCGGGGATGCTATAATCCCATTGTTTTGCGGCGGGTTGGCAGAGATTCAGCTGCACCAGCAAGAATGACAGATGAAAGAGGAAGCAAGAGACAATGACGCCCAGAGTCATGTACCTGTAACCGCCCTTGGGAATAAAACGAAGGTATGAGGTGAGCAAGGCGAGCTTGAAGCCGAATATACTCGAGATATAACTGTGTTGAGGGTCAGCACTCCTGGGAGATCAGGTATAAGTTGGAAAAATGGGTTAGAACTAACAAAGGGGCGCCGATATATTGAAGCTGCGAGTCAAGATTGTTAGCAGCCAGGCTTCCGTCCGATGTCAACAAAGATATGCACTTACGATATTGAAATTGTACATGTTTTGCGATGGGAAATCTGCCATATCTACCAATCCCAAGCCCCATCTTGTCTCTGTGTTCACTTGTTAGGGCCAGAGGGATAAATCTTGGTAGTTTTCAAAGTTACTCACGAACGATTGTCACGACCGCAAAACCAGCCGCCGCGACCCATGTGATGATGATAACCCAGTCATCGAACCCGATAGCCTTGAGAATCAAGGCTCGGACGTAGGTTCGCAAACAAACAGTGATGAAGGAGAGAACCGTAAGGGCGATGGCAACGCCCGTGATCTGGTGGCCCATGGTAGGCGCATCGGGATCTGTGGTGTTGTAGGTCCAAGCCATCTTGGCGGAACGACGGCGGGTTCACGACAACGCCGCACGGGAACCGGGAGTGAGATGTGGACCAGAAAGCGAGGAGAACAGGAGTATAAATCGAATGCTGCTCTGTGCGTGCGTGGTCGAATGCACGTAACCAGACTTTTTAGTGAGGGTGGAGAAGGTGCCGCTCCCGTCAACCGAGATCTGATGTCGATCACCGTGGTTTTGCGCCTCCCAATTGAGACTGATGATGAGGATCGGAGAGGTGGGCGAGGATCAACCTCATCAAGGGCCCGGCCGTGAATATACAATTCTGGATGCCTTTTCAGAAGGTTAACATGGTTGATCATGTAAGTGGGCAGTGTCACTACATAAGGAATTTGGCGTTCATCGCCAAGCCACGACCGAGATCTCTTGAAGCTCAGTGTTCCCAGTCTCCGCTGCCCTAATCCACCGAGGGCAGGCCAGGGGTCGGTCCTCCAACAGTTCCAGAAGAAGCAGGTGTTAATTGCTAACAAGATGAGCGAAGGGGGGGAAGAGGATTCTGGGCCGACGTAAATCATCAAAGAGGGTCTACATGTAACATCACACGCAGCAACTCCAGCGTGAAGCGAAAGAACAGCGCGCGGGGAGAACTAGCCTTGTATCAGTGCGTTGCGTTGGCTTATACAGGATGATAATGGCTAAGGTTGAGACCCGTACGGGAGGTCTGTTTTCAGGCTGCTGTGCCGGACCTGGCATCAACTTGGCTAGGTGCGGCGGAGATGGACAGAAGAGTCTAGCAGAAGATTGACCTTCCGTATGGCGTAACACTTGCGGGCTGCACGTGCGTGTTGTGGTGTAGTGTACACGAGATGGGCTTGGTGGTGGGTTGGTGATGATGAGAAATTGCTGCTATGAATGACAACTTGTGCGCCTGCGCTCCGCTCCCGCCGGTGTTCATCTGTAGGCTCGGGCGAGACAAGACAGTGGTGAAGAAGGAGCAGCGGCCCCAAGGAGTTCTAGCGTGAGATGGTTCCAAATCAGTGCCCGATATGGCCTAGAACGGCGGCCTTCGGTCATAGTCACTGTCCTATCATAGCCTATTATATAGCATATGTGCTGCCACGGGGACCGTCGGGATCCATCATGATACGCAGCCAAGCACGGGTTCCTTTGCCCAGAAACTCCGGCGAAGTCGATGAAGTGCAAAATATCTTGATATTTGCGCTTTTGACGTGGATCTTCCTTGTTGGGATGTAGACTACCACGGCCAAGTCGGCTCCAACCAAGTTGGAACGAATTTTGCAGTACAATACGAGCTCAATCACCGAGTCATTTGTGTGTTTCCATCCCACTTTCGACCCTGTTGAGCTGAATATAAGACGTAAAAGTCCATGTTTTCTAAGCTTGACAGCCATACGATTGCTGTAAGTGCAGAAATCAAAGCGGAAGACACACAGGTTGTCAGAGAGGGGGAGAAAAAAATAGAAAAAAATAAACCACGCTAAATAGAGACACCAAAGAGGAAGAATCCCCGAAGTCACTGAGACAGTAGTATAGGTTGGAAGGCCATAGCACATGACATCCCTCGCCATTCCGACAGACACTTCATGACTGGTGATGAAGCCAGGAGAATGATGAGTTTGAAAGTGGGAAAAAGGGTCGAGCAGCAGCCGAGGCTATTCCATGATGTGGTGTAGAGAGCTGGAACAGTCCCTTGTCGAGGCCTGTGATAGAATGGCGTAGCGATTTTCCTGACCAAGACCCAAGATTATGCAGTGACCCACACAAGGGGATATTAAGTAACGCAGGCCAATGCGAAGTGAAGGACCTAACGGATTCGGCTAGGTCATGTCGTGATGGGTGAACACTGGAGAAAAAAAAAAAAAAAAAAAAAAGTCTTCACTGAAAGTCTGCCATTCGGGGTCCACGCCATGAGCTAGACCTTTTTCAAGAAGTCGAGCCGAGGATGAAGAGGAGGTGGTAAAGAAGGACAGGAAAAGAGAGAAGAGAAAAAGGAGGACACGGGGATAAGTCGCAAAGTATGTATGTCTCAATCGGCGATCCTGGGCGGACTGGAAGCTGCCAATAGTCTAAGCTATGGCGTACACTACCTACACCAGAAGGACCGAAAGACCAAGAGCGTCAAAGGAATATGCCGTGAGACACGTGGGCACTTTCGGATATCGCTACATGATAGGGTGATAGCGTGACACTGCAATGCAACGCTGCTCAGGGGCAGTATGTAGAAGGGGTGGCACCACGAGCAGAGTGGCAGCCGTAGAGGTCCTCGAAGCCAGCCTCCCCCAAGTGCTGATGGGGTCGCTGGGAAGCTCTCGTCGTCAAGACGAAAAGGCCGTCCGGTGCCGTGTCGGATCGTCTGTGCTCCGGAGACGAGCGGTTTCGGCCGAGTTTCAAGCTCCTCTCTTGTGCTGTATCGGTTGGGAAGATGAGAGCCGAGGCTGCGTCCATGATTTTCTACCTATCGGCAGCATCCGAGCGCAGAAGCTGGCGACTCTTGTCGTTCATCCTGTTGTGGTCGAGATCGTCGGCGTCGACTTGCTCTGTCTCCCTTCTCGTCCAGCGATTTGCAAGATGCCTTCTGTGTTCGGCAACCTCGGTCCTTCGTCCTGCTCGGCCTTGGCTCAAAACAGCTAGCAGTGAAAAAGCACGACACACTACTGAAGCGATGGGCAATCTCCCCTATCAGCGGTGACAGAGCGCGAACCTGTGGACCGGCATCTTCCGCAATGGGGCTTTTGTGGAGGCTAGCTGGCTCGGCGAGGTCTAGCCGGCAGGGGAAACGGTGGGGGGGGGGGGGGGGGAAGTCGGGCTTCAAAACCTAAGGTCTGTAGTGTAGTGTAGGTGTTGCCTGATAATTCCTGCGGGCATTTTGCGGACGCAGCCCCCGAGGGCGACAGCTTTCAGTTGCACGTGTACGGCGTAGTGTAGTAGGTAATGTAGGGTGAGGTTGTGCCACTACACTAGTATCTTGCCTTGGTCGAAAATATAGTTGTCGACATGTCGTTGCAATTGAGGGGTTGAGGCTCAGCGGCAGTTGTTCATCGGCACGCACCGTGGTTCACTCCAAGAGGCTTGCGGTTCAGGTAACATTGATTTTTACCGAGGTTTGGCGCTTGGACGAGCTGGAAAAGCAATGAAAATGAAATCGGACGGCTGTTCGGTTGCCGCTTGCCGTGCCCGGCCGGGAATGGTCGGGCGGCCATTGGCTCCAGGCAACCAACATCTATCTGATCGCGCAGTGATTTTTGCGCTCGCTTTTAACTTCCATCGACTGAGGGCACCTGTGGCTGGCTGCAGTGGCGAAGTGAAAAGAAAGCGCGGAGCAGAGCGCGGGGTTAACAGGGCTTTACGCTGAACAAAGGAAAATCACTTTGTTTCTTTTTTGTCAAAACACTGTGTTGTGTGCGAATTATACTAGTAGTCATGGATCGCGTATCGATTGGATGAAAAAAGTAATTTCGGACCAAACACATATAAGCAAGAAGCACAAAAGTCGTATCTACTTCAAGACCTGGGTGCATAACAGAACATTTGGAGGTCAGGTCACTGCGTAAAAGCGAGCATGCCCGTGGGGTACCCAAGAGGCGCAATGGATGGCACGGTAGCTGCAGGTATGTACTAACATCGCGGTGCTGCAGGAACATGAATTTCCCGGACCACCCCTCGGACTGAATCCATTCGGATGACAAACCCCGTCATGTCGGCTGGCTCATCTTCCGCATCAAGCTGAACCCATCTTGGAGATTACGCCACGTGAAGCCGCCCGCCGCGTGCCACACACAGCACGTGGAAGATCAGACCTGTCGGCTAGCTACCGGGCGGACAAGGGCCCAATTCATTAACTCGGAGCTAGAGGTAGCGGTGCTAATCGCTCCGAGTTTTCACAGTTGTTGACACCATCGTCAAACCTCATTGCCGTCCCACCCACCCATGGTACTGTTCCCGTCTACACCAAAAATACTTCCAAGTAGTGTAACGCTACACTATACAACAGCCGACTATTGTACGTTGCATCATGGAAACCTCGACTGCACAGGTTGTCGGGCATCGCGACCCGGCGCTGGACCGAAATGTCACCAGTCAAGGTTTCCCTTCCTACCTATTCTCGCCCAGGCGGCCTGTGTTGCCCCATTACCCACTGCTTCGGAGACTTTTCTAGCTCAATGTGAAGCTGTCCGCAATCTGCCATCAGGCCCAACCCCGGTGTAGTTTACACCAGTATGGTAGTACACATGCTACCCAGATACCGCCATCCTTGATCAGCTCCTGCGTAGGTATGTAGGTCATCTCGATTATCCTCGACCCGACTCTGCCACCGCTATCTTAGCAGATGACATTGGATATGGATATCGGCACACGGATGCCACCACTCATCCGAATAACCGATTTTCAACAGCCGCTTACATACCACTGACCACCGTCCCTACAGATGAGGATGAGCATCGTCCCGAGTGACGGTTGCTGGCGATCCCTTTCTGACGATCCCATCCCCAGGTTTTGCCATGCACAACGTGGGAAAACTCTGACAGATAAGACACCTTGATGGGCATCTTGATAACTCAAAAAAGAACGACCCAAGGACACAAACTCCACCAGCCGGTCTGCACCTCTCTCCGCCATAGCCACTCCTCACGAGGTGAACCATGTCGCGCGTGGCTGGCACGATAACCTAAAATCCGTCCAGACATGGAGTTGTAAGGCACTCGGCACCAAAGAAGAAAGCATTTCGCCTTGGCCATGGGTGAGGTGGAACCCGGACGGAGATTGTTCCTGGAACTGACGGCCATCCGTCCACTCACAGGCTTTCAAGCTCCCCACGGATTCGGATACTGTGACCTTTTCTACACTACGCTACACTACACGTGTGCGCAGGTGCCGTGGGAGAATCGTGCCATGGCTATGGTCCCAGCCGGAGGGTTTTCAATTTGGGGCCGTCTACACTAGCCGCATAACCAGGGGACCCTACCAGTCAGTCCCTGAACGGTCTCGCCTGTGTTTTCCCGCCTCTCCCTGGTGGA